CTTATAATACTGAGCTCATGATTTTCAATACAGTCATCTACTAGGCAAACATTCACCCTTCATATAATGTCTGTACTACTCTAGCTGCTAGTAACAAAATATCGAGTCAGTAATGTGCATGCGGTATTGATACAGCCTACAGTAAGCGTACAACATAATAGCTGCTTTGCTCACACTATACAATATGGTATGAAGGAGATGGATTCCCTTCGTAATATTGTATCAAAAGCCTCAGCACTTAGTCTCTCGTAAATCAACTCATACCACTGATTGATTGATACGTTTATTGAGATAAAAAAAACATCTCAAAGGGATGAAGTGACATAAGTCATCCCCACCCCAGTCCAGGACTGTCCCTCTCAGGACTCACATAATACAGATGTATCTCATATAATCTACTATAGTACATACTGTACTTATATTCTAGATGCAAAATTTCTTTATTTCTTTAATATTTCATCTATTTTCCTATTTTTAAACATCCACTCTATTTGCATGGGGACATTATTTATATGGGCATTTCTATATACATTAAGCAATGGGCATTCCAGTATATAATGTGGCAGGGTATGGGATCTGGATGTTCTACAAACTCTACATTCTTTATCCTGTTCACTTCTCTCAGCTTCAAGTTCACAGTAATATTTATATCATAATCTTAACCTCATATACACTGAATCTTTCCACCTACTCCTATCTTTCCCATATGTAAAATTTGTGTTCATGAGAACATGATGGTAATTTTTCATTGTTTCACTTTTGTCAAATATTTAATTCCTTTTTAAATTATCTTCCATTGATTGTATTTTCCGTAATTTGCTCCTTAATTGTTTCAAGGTTTTAATACAGATTATGTTCATCTCGGTCTTTTCTGTGGCTCTTTTTTCCATTATATCTACTGCTTCATTAAGACCAATCCCCACATGTGAAGGGACCCATATAAATCGAACACTATGGCCTTTTTTCCTGATTATATTTACTAATTTTCTACGTGAACCAACAATGTGTTCAAAGACTGGACTCCCACTGTTCAAAGAATCCAAAGCTGCCCTACTATCAACAAAGAATATGCATCTTTATTCCTCTTTACAACATTTTCCAATCCTACTAACATTGCATATAACTCAGCTTGTGTTGATGATATAAAATTGCTCAGCCGGAGTCCAATTGTGGTGTCATCAGTACCTTGTTCTGTGTACTGTCTTATAGGGATCTCACACCCTGCCCTGCCCTGCCACAACTGAACCGTCACAATATACATGCAAGGTGTTTACTTTAGTCAAATTACTAATCTTATTCCCATATAAAGCTCTTAACTGTCCTGGTTCATGTAATGATTTCTTCATTGTGAGAGGCACAATGTCTAACTCTACTCGTTCTTCCCAGGGTGGATCCTTACAACTTTTTTGAACAGCTGTAAACCAGTCTGTCAGATTACATTTCTTAACAATATTTACTAATCCATTCATGTATCCTCTCTTGCCTTGCCTCCAGAAGGTCCTTATATTTTTTAAGCTCTGGGGAGGTCACAAGCTACCTGTCAGATCCCTGCCTTCCAGAACACACAGATCCTCTTAAATTCTGGGAACAAAACAAAGCATTCATGCCTGTCCTCTCCAGCTCACAATGAATTACCTTGTACAGTGGTACCAGCAACTTGGGAACCTGTTGAGAGAGTATTCAGTGTTGCTGGCCGGATCTTCAGGCCGGATAGGTCCCAGCTTAGTGATAAAACTTTCCAGAGTCTAGTTTTCATTAAGTTCAACAAAAATAATGTTTTAATTTCTATATCCCTATCCTGGGGTGCAACCACTCAATATTTTCTACTGTTATTGATGTATTATGTGCACTGTAGCGATGCTCCTTTGTTTTTATTAATGGGATTATTTATTCTACAGTGAAAGATGACGACCAACAAATACAGAGACTGAACAAGGAATTAATGGATTGTCGAGACCACCTGTCAACTACCACGCCTTACACCACCACCACTACCACCATCCCGCCCACAACTACTCCTACCACCGCGGCTTCATCTACCTCCACTACCGACACCATGTCCTCCACTACCGACACCATGCCCTCCACTACCGACGCCATGCCCTCCACTACCGACACCATGTCCTCCACTACCGACACCATGTCCTCCACTACCGACACCATGTCCTCCACTACCGACACCATGTCCTCCACTACCGACACCATGCCCTCCACTACCGACACCATGTCCTCCACTACCGACACCATGTCCTCCACTACCGACACCATGTCCTCCACTCCACTACCGACACCATGTCCTCCACTACCGACACCATGCCCTCCACTACCGACACCATGTCCTCCACTACCGACACCATGTCCTCCACTACCGACACCATGTCCTCCACTACCGACACCATGCCCTCCACTAACACCAGTCAAGTGGACTGGATGATGGTAGTGGACTGAGTCCACTACCATCATCCCTCCCACATCTACTCCTACCACTGCGGCTTCATCTACCACCACGCCCTCAAGCCTAACCTCACTGTTGGTAGTTAAATACAATTAGTTCACTATAATATATCCAGTTTGTTATAATTAGTACAATGAAAAAACTTATGAAAAAAATAGTAATCGTATATTTTCAGCACACAATACATAGTACACACATACATTATACATAAGCACATATATACATACATATATATTTCCACACATTTTCATAAACATATACATATTCAAATCTATATACATATTGTGCATATATGCCATACTAAATAGATATAATCCTCAAATAAACTTTAAAACAATTGAAGTTTTTACCAAATAATGACAATTTTTCTTTTTATTAATATAATTTAATTGAAAATAATTCGTAGACATAAAAATTCATTGTTTCATATAAGACGGCGTTCACTATTATAAAATAGACGAGTTATACGTAAAGTTGGTGAAGTTTTCTATGAGGCGATATGATCGCTTATGGCCAGTCTGAAGTATTTCGAGTAACACACACACACACACACACACACACACACACACACACACACACACACACACTGCATTTGCATAACATATTCACAGACAGACATACATATAACAAAAAATATTTGAGATATGGTTAATTGTAATGTGTGTACTGGAAATATTGTGTAATATTTATATAATACTTTCATGGGAATAAAATATGATTTATGTAACAGTAATATTGTGTTACTTATTATTTAAGTATTAACATAATATACATCACTTTAGCCCTGTGGCTCTTAGTATTGACTGTTAAGTATGGCTGACACTGACTTACTAACTGCAGCGTGACTTAAGAGACGAAGAACACGAACGATGCATTATTTTAATTATTTTATTAATGCGAAAACCATTGAAAAAAAAAAACACACACACACACACACACACACACACATATACACAGGTCATGTCATATCAGCTGGGTTAGGTTAGGGTAAGGTCTTTTCCTTACTACGATTATTATTATCACACTTGAACACAACATTTTGTACAACACTGTTATTATTATTTTTTCTTCTTCTTCTTCTTCTTCTTCTTCTTCTTCTTCTTCTTCTTCTTCTTCTTCTTCTTCTTCTTCTTCTTCTTATTATTATTATTATTATTATTATTATTATTATTATTGTTAATTTTTATAGTTAACATTATTATAATATGTGTGCTGATGAAAAATTTAATAATGGTTTAAAAATATTTGTAGTTTGGAAAATTATTTATACTACTGTACAATGCTTGCGAATCACATGAAGATCAGACACCCCAGCTTATATTGACCTGATGATTAAACACCTTAATGCTGCCTGTGGGATTAGGTTAGGTTAGGTTAACATTAGATTAAGTTAGATCAGATCAGGTTACGTTAAGTTAGGTTAGTGTTAGGTTGACATTAGATTAAATTAGGTTAAATGAGGTTAGGTATAAGATAAAATAAACTGGGGAGTCTAATCCTCAAGTAATCCAACGGACAATGCACTCTTATCACTTTATCTTAACAGCGTAATAGAAGTGTTGAAAACTACAAATCACTGAACAATAATGAAAGTGATTCTCGTACACTATTTTAGGGAGACAGTGGTGACGTAACACACAGACACTATATAGTTAGGTACCCCTTGCCAGCCCCGGGAGCGAACCAGCGACCCCTTAGGACAGAAAGTCAATGTTGTATCCATTCGGCCACACAAGTGTATGTTAAGTATACTGCCAATGTACTTTACACCCGCCAGACACTATACACATAAGGTAAGTCTCTCTCTCTCTCGTGGGCATCTGTTTACCTGACCAGTTTAGCGGTGACTGACTGTGGGAAAGAGACAGTGAGAGATAGTTGATGAGAGACTGAAAGTGACAGTTGGTGAGAGAGATTGAGGTAAGAGAAACAGAGGGGCGAGGGAAACACAAGTGATACTCTCTCACCACCACCACCATCATCAATAACAACAACAACAATATATAAATAATAAATAAACTGTAGACTCAAGGAACAATTAAACTGGAAAAGTAGTGACTGTCGTAGGATTTAGAAGAGCCGAGAATCGACTGATGCAAATTTCAGACAGGTAGTGACTGACTGTGTGTGTGTGTGTGTGTGTGTGTGTGTGTGTGACGTCACTATTTGAACTGGTTTCCATGTAAATATAATGGGGGGGGGGTGACGTAGGCCATATAAGACTGAACGCTATATTATTTACATCAGCTGGACTTGAGCCTGTCAAACAGGACTTCTTTAGGTGACGAATGAAGCTGGACTGAACACGTCACCCAGTACTGTCAAATAACAACTTCAGCTGGACTTGAACATATCACACAGGACCCGTTCGATTGGGGTGTTGCCGACGGTGCGTTTGAAGAAGATCTCCTGAATGGCCGTAGCGGAGACATGGCCGAGAGCAGGTAAGAGGAGGAGGAGCTTACCTGCCCTGACGCGACCACCTGCACCACACACCTTGCTGGCCAAGTACTGCAGGAGGCGCAGAAGGAGGGTGTTAGTGTGTTAATAAAGGAAGTTTTTTTTTCTACATGCATATAATATATAATGGCCGGCCCAAGGACCACCTAGGAGTGAATTTGTTTAAGGTGTAGAAGCTGTGGCCAACACAACAACCACACCCTAAGTTAACGAGTTGCATGACCCAGTGTCAAGGAATAGACCTAGAAGACCGGACAACTCCACTGGCTAACCATTACCCCGGAACACGATCAGCAAACCATTAACATCCAGGTTCCCAATTACTGCTAGGTAGACAGAGGCAAATGGCGTAAAGAAACTTGCCCATAGTTTCACCCTGCCCGGGGAGCGAACCCGAGTCCTCTCGCTTACGAGGCGAAAGTGCTGACCATTACACCAATGGTAGCCATACATACAAACATACATAATAAAGGGAGATATTAGTGAGTTAGCATATGTATACACAAAGTAACAGTAACAAAGAATGTTACTTACCTCATGGAGCATAAGCTGAGTCTGGTCTTGTAACACCTCAACACCGTAACCGTCACGTAGTCCCCGAGCCTCTGTAACACATTGGTAACGTTACACACACAAGTAACACACACGGGTCAAAATAATGCTATATAACACGTCAGAGTTGTCACAATAATTTGGTGTATTAGTGTCGTGGTAACGCTGGTAACGCCACGTGGGTGTAAAAGTAACGCTGAAGTAACTACAGCACTTAACACACTATTATACAGTAACAACATCACTATTATAAGTATCAAACCAACACTTAACACACTAACATACTATAAGTAACAACAACAACTTTACACACAAGTAAGACACCAAGTCTCACCGGGACGGAAGAGTATAAGAGCCTTAAGACAGGCGTACTCTGTGTGGTCCACCCGAAGAGCGTGTAGTCTGCTGATGACGTCACGCATGGCCTCTACCTCCCTCCCTAGTCCAGCTTCATGCTCCGCTGAGGCTCCTACACCTCTCACTAGGCTCACTGTGGAGGTATACAGTGTGTTAGAGAGGCTCCTTCACCTCTCATTAGGCTCCTACACCTGTTATTAGGCTCCTACACCTGTCATTAGGCTTCTACACCTGTCATTAGGCTCCTACACCTGTCATTAGGCTCCTACACCTGTCATTAGGGTCATTAGGCTCCTACACCTGTCATTAGGCTCCTACAGCTGTCATTAGGCTCCTACACCTGTCAATAGGCTCCTACACCTGTCATTAGGCTCCTACACCTAGGCTCCTCATTAGGCTCCTACACCTGTTATTAGGCTCCTACACCTGTTATTAGGCTAACCCCACCCAACCTAACCTGACTACAGTACAGTAAGAGTTACCTTCATCAAGAGGCAGGGACCACTGAGCTGCGGCCACCACGAACAGTTCACTCCAAGATTCTTCCAACAAGATGGCTTGGTCACGGAACGGCAACTGGAACACGATACTTTGTTACTTGTATGTATGTATGTGAAAGTGTATACGTGCTTGTGTACATGTGTGTAAGTGTGTGTATGTATGTAAGTGTGTGTGTGTGTGTGTAGCGGGCGTCAGCTGGTGAGATACCACCCACCTGTACACACAACACAATCAATACGCACATCAGCCGCTCACACTCTTCAAATACCTTTATAAGCTACGAATATATCCTTAACATAATCAACATACGAACGTACACACATCTCAGTATACCTCACACATCTCAGTATACCTCACACATCTCAGTATACTTCACACATCTCAGTATATCTCACACACCTCAGTATACCTCACACATCTCAGTATACCTCACACACCTCAGTATACCTCACACATCTCAGTATACCTCACACATCTCAGTATACCTCACACATCTCAGTATACTTCACACATCTCAGTATACCTCACACATCTCAGTATACTTCACACATCTCAGTATATACTTCACACATCTCAGTATACCTCACACATCTCAGTATACTTCACACATCTCAGTATATCTCACACACCTCAGTATACCTCACACATCTCAGTATACCTCACACATCTCAGTATACTTCACACATCTCAGTATACCTCACACATCTCAGTATACTTCACACATCTCAGTATATCTCACACATCTCAGTATACCTCACACATCTCAGTATACTTCACACATCTCAGTATACCTCACACATCTCAGTATACTTCACACATCTCAGTATACCTCAACAGTCACTCAAGGATTCGGTGTTGGAACGAATCCTTACCACTCAGTTTATAAAGATATGCTAACTTCTTCAGATGGTTAAGCGTACACACCTGCATGAAGGAAGGGATAGATCGCGCCCACTTGACGCCTAAAAACAGCAACTTGGCGGCGTTTTCGTAGACACTGTCCGTGGACGTGATGACCAGTGCGCCTGGGTCCACGGTAATGGGCGGCGCAGAACTGTGGGCGTGGCTCGTGGGCGTAGCAGGACTCCCGGGTGGTGTGGGCGTGCTGGCGGGCGAGGGTGTGGGTGCCATGGCCAACGTTGTGGGCGGGGAGGATGAGTCTGTCTTGTCTGTGGGCGGGAGAGTAATTATAATAATAATAATAATAATGAGACAATAATTAAAGAGGAGATAGTGGTAGCTAACAACGTGTTGTGGTTGTTGTTTTTAGCAGTTGTGATTGTGGTAGCTGTAGATTTTGTTGTAATTTTATTATTTGGGTTGTAATTTTCATTTTAGTTATAGTTGCATTTGTAATACAGGTGAGTATAATTTATTCACCTGATTATAAAGATCAATTAAAGTTTTACTGTAGAAAATATAATAAAACGGTTTGGTACAATTAATAAAGCAACTCGTGTAATCTTTTGACACGGAAACAAGTGCGCGACTTCCTCCCAACTCATTGGATCGGGGGTGATGGTTCCATTCATTGGCCTCACCGTTCCCCGGACATCACGACTATGGATTTCTTTTTATGGGGCTACGTCAAGGACAAGGTGCATGGGAAAAAGGTTAATAATATCATAGAGATAAGACACCGGATTGAAGAGGCAGTGGCTTCCATCACGCTCGACATGTTTCATAACACCTGGAATGAAATCAGCTCCCGTGCTCTACGTGCTACCAAAGAGGCCCTTGTGGAGGTTTACTGAAGAGCAGTTATGTGTGCCAATTACATGTCAAAAGATTACCCGAGTTACTTTATTAATTGTACCAAACCGTTTTATGATATTTTCTACAGTAAAAATTTCATTGATCTTTATAATCAGGTGAATAAATTATACTCACCTGTATTATTTGTTGTTGTTGTAGTTGTCACAAAACATCAGAAAATATTGATGACGCTGTCTTCAGAAAAATTATAGTAGTTAAGCTGTTAAGAGAAATTTACACTGAAGGAAAAACATCAGTGGTGTCTTACCATTGTTGTTGTTGTTATTGTTCTCCGTGGAGGTGGTGGTGAAGAAGTTGATATTGTTATTGTTGTTGAAGATGGCGACGTTGTTGTTGTTGTTGGTGGTGGTGGTGATAATGTTGGAACGGACGATGGCGGCGGCTATGGTGGAGTTGATGGTGTTCCTGGAGAGATCGGTGGCGGTGTTAGTGTTGGCGGTGGTGATGGAGACGTTACCTTCACCGCTGATGTTGTTCTTGTTCAACGCGGGTGACCCGACCCGACGTGGGGGGCTGAACGCCGAGCCCTCATTGGCTGCGCGGCAAATCTCCGCCACGTTGCTCATTGGCTGCCGCTGATCGACCGTTGGCGGCTTCAGCTCAAGACGCTCCATGATTGGTGGCTTCAGACCAAGGCGCTCGCTGATTGGCGGCTTCATCTCGAGACGGTCCATGCCTGGGGGGTTGTACTCCACTCGCTCGTTCATTGGGGGTTTAGAATCGATGGGTGGCGAAGGAGAGTGATGGAGGGCGGCGTCTGTGTAAGGGCGGCGCAGGTCACCACCCAGGGCAGCCAGGTTGGGCTTGAAAGCCGAGTTATGACTGAAGTGAAGATTGAGGGGAGCCATGGAAGGCGTCATTGGCAGGAAGGGTGGCTTGAAGTGCATGGGCGGCAGCAGGGCGGGATAGTAGGGTGGCAGGGGAGAGAAGGCCGTGCCGCCACCCACAGACACGGGCGGGAACCCTGCCGCCCCTGACATGTCCGGAGCGAACATAGGCCGCTTCTGGCACGACCGAGGCGCCCTCTCGTGTTGGACAGCTGAAGGAGAAACCACACGTTACTTATACTTGTGGCCACACTACATTACCACTTATGCTTGCGGCCACACTACATTACCACTTATACTTGTGGCCACACTACATTACCACTTATACTTGTGGCCACACTACATTACCACTTATGCTTGCGGCCACACTACATTACCACTTATACTTGTGGCCACACTACATTACCACTTATGCTTGCGGCCACACTACATTACCACTTATACTTGT